AAAAAAACAAAAAAAACGGGTACAGAGGCGGGGCAGCACTGCCAGCCAATAGGTCGGGCTCGCAACAATTCATCCAAATTTTCTCCACACTCTTTTCCTCTCTGTGTTTGAATCTTTTATTATTATTATTATTTAATTTTATGGTCTGCTCAGTCTCTAACTCACAGGTGTCTGAGGAGTGGACACTGCCCAAGAACGTTGTCGGGATATCCCTCTGAGCATCTCTGTGTTTATATTCGCCAAATAAGCAAAGCTCAGCATTGCACCGACAACCTCAACGTGGCAGCACGGTGTCTCTCCAGCGCGCGCACAGCGCATCCCACAAGTGCAGAAGTCCACCCGCCCTCCACTCTCACCCCCAACACTTCTCCCCGCAAACACTGACAGCTGAGCCCAGCTCGTACAGAACACATCGTGTTTTCACTTGTCTTACCTTGATCTGAGTTCCCGGTCTGGCAGGGAAGAAGAGGATGAAGGCGTGAAGCTTTACGGTCCGTTCTGCAGCAGCAAAAGACGGAGAGAGCGAGAATATTATCCCCGGACGTGCGTTCCAGCAGAGAGAGGGAGAGAGAGAGAAGGGGGGTGGGGGGAGATCCAGAGAGAGAGAGTAAGGTGGGTGAGCAAGAGGAGTGATGAGGGACGGTGGCGCGCTAACGGAAGAGAGAGAGGGGATGGTTGACAGAGGGATGATGTTGAATCGTGGCAGCAGCCGCTCCCAATCAGACGTAATACCTGCTGTATACACTGAGAGGAAAATTTCAAAGAAAAATCTTCTGCAGGCTTTTTCTTTTTTTTCTCTCTTTCAGAAATGTCGGCTGCGCGTAATTAAAATGCCAAAGCAAGCCCGATGTCAATATCAGGAAGATTCCCAGCGGGACGAAACACATCTCAGATTTTTCTCTAGTTTCTGCCCTCCCTTGTGTTAATTGTGCTATTTTTATCCCAATTTTTAAATAGGTTTGTTATATAGACTGCATACAGGTTTCACCTTAGCTTTAATTCAATGAGAGCACTCATTTGAAAAAAGGACAACATATTATAACATAGTTCTGCTTATGGCTCAGTCTAACCACGTGACAGCGGCATGTATTAATGACTCCAATCAGTCGATCTTAAGAACGGTGGGAGGTTACGGGCCACTGATACCTCCACGGGCAGTAATCACATAATGTTTGGTCCCGAACGTGTGGGGTAAAGCGGGATGCCGCTCCTGTCGTTACTTGCGCAACTTACCACTTCCCCATGCAGGGACGCGCAACTGCTTTCCAATCTGGGCACGTAGCAACGCGCCTCAAAGTGCGCGCCCTTGTGATGGGGCAGGGAGGCAGGTTCCCGTACACGCGCACGGATATAAAGTGGAAGGCGTGGAAAGAAAAGGGGGAGCTCCAACTGTGCCGATGACGTCATTGTCAGTCAGCTGTCGAGGTATTGATTTGCTCCCATGTTGTTTTGCTCGTGAGTACCTTTCGATGTGTGTGTGTGTGTGTGTGTGTGTGTGTGTGTGTGTGTGTGTGTGTGTGTGTGTAGTAGATTTAGAGTTTTTATGTGCCTTCCTGTATCTCAAATTTCTGAAAACCCCACAGGGTAACACTTTTCTCTGGAGCTCCTTTCATCCTTTGGGTTTTCATCCTGCTTGTAGGAGTGATACTTGACTGATTGCCATCGCACGTGTGATCGCACCCAGCTCGATATTAACAGTAAGGGGAATTTCTATGTTGTGTGAGTGAGTGAGGTCATTTGAGCCCAGCAAGAGATTGCCCAAGCACAGCTACACTGGGAACCTCGGGGAATTCAGGGTCCCCTGTATTGCAAACAGATTTGAGTAATCTGCAGTTTGTCAGGTACTAAACTGTTATATAAACATCATTAATGGACAAAATTTATTATGTTTTTGGGCTGCGTATGCTCACATGGTGCACATTCCTAATAGAGTTTAACCACATATGAAGCATCAAATCTGATTTAATGGAGTAACAAAGTAAGTATCGGTGTATGAGGATCAGCGTGGACTAAATCAACACATTCTCACTCTCTGCTCGTCTGGTACTGACGCTTGGGAGGAACTCTTTCTTGTCAGTGTGATACTCCATTAGTGTCAATCACACACGTGGTCTCCAACCAGAAGACAGAGAAGACTATGGGTTGTGTCTGGAACCACTTTTTAAAGCACTTTATTTTAGTTTAGTTTTTCTCTCTACATTTTCTTACACTGTTTGGTTAAGGTTAGGCAGCAAATTTGATATTGCATTAGTAATTAAGTAGGTATAGGCAGTTTCTGCCGCATGATCGTGTGTTACAGAATGGATTTATTTGCGACAGTTCCATCTCCAGCCTGGAGGACCTGGGACTGCATTGTCTCAGTTCTCATTTCATGCAACACACTGTAGTTCTGAGGGTCCCCAAAGTTTGAAAGCCTACAAACCACAGTAATGTGACATGCTATGCTTTATCTTTCACCTGGGGTGAAGAGAACTAGTAGTAAAGTTGAAACAGTGATGGCTTTTTTCACCGGCAGCTGCTCGGCTCAATCAATGTGGGCTGGGTAGTTGTAGCAAGGCTATAAGTCCTGTGAAATTAATTGTATATCACACAAACACAACACACCAACGGTGAGTGGAGTCTCAGAACCAAAGAATGTGTGTAACCATTTCCCTCATAAAAAAACAGGTTTGATTCTTGTGAAGGAGTCACTCTCATGACATAACTCCCATTATTCCATTATATACCTGGTAGCAGGTAATCCCACCTAACAGAAAACACTAAAAACCGAGTAGAGTCAAATCAAGTAGAGCCCAGTATGTGCGAGCTGAAAAGAGGATTAAAGCTACTTTGTTAGAGTTGGCATTAAATTATAATTAAATTAAGTCTAACTAAAACTGCACGGTTTGGTTTTGGAGGAAAAAAAGGTAACGTGGGTTAAAATACACCGTTTCACTCACCATTCAAGCTTCTCTCAAATATAACAAGCATGTTACAGCTGATCACTCCAACATGTGGTGCTTAGTTTTTAGTGATTAAAACTCTGTTTACATGTGAATGGAAGGCCAAAACACTTTAAATAAGCCAACAAAATACCTGTACTCGTTTTCAGATTCTGACTGATTCTGGCTGAACTCTGTCAGGCTGTCAGGCACACCGAAAACAGGCTACTAAAGAACTGACCAGCTTGTTACAACGTGAGCCCGATGGGTCCCAAGTGTCAGTAAGAGATGAGTTTGAAATGACACTTTTGCCTCAAGTACTTGTGGGTGCAATCCAAGCACAATACACTAATTTTCTGTAGTGTTGAGGACACTAAACACAGGTCATTATGGACATTTTACCCATTTTATTTTGCTCCTGATTAAGAGTAACTGCTACATAATTCTTCAGTTCCTTCTCAGTTTTGTAATTATGGAGACTTGCCTTTTCCTTTTCTTACTCTTTGCTGCAGTTTCCTTAATATTCCATCATGTGTTCTTAACTGGTTTAGTCATCAGTCCAGATGTAAGTTTGCCCTCGGTTTATTTCGTTATATAACCCCAGTCTTGCGTAATTAAAGGTTACTGAATTCTGTCAGATAAATGAGTGATATGAGTTTATCTTAGTTTTTCAAAAAGGCACTAATTTTTTCTGGAATGCAAATTTATTTTTCACTCTCTTTCATCCATAGAAATCAGAAAAAACACAGTCAATGAATTTGATTTCATAATGCCATTTAAGGAACACATGTCATGGACTGCAAGAGGATTTTCTATGTAAGCATACATGCATGTTCTCAGAGTAACAAGCTATCAAAATAACATATTTCTAATACCTGTAGAAATGTTGTTTCATTTGCAAGTTAAAAAATGACCAAGCAAAGAGGCTGAGGAACTCTCAGAAGCAGGTAACAGGAAAATGGTGACTGCTGGCTCCTAAAGCGTGCACTATGCACTGGTCATAAGAAAAGGCACTAAAACGCCAGTGTGGGACCTAAACTCTGCAGCAGGACACACAGAATGCACTTGATTTTTGTAAAGCAACAGTGGCATTTAGTCACCTTTTTTCTGCTTTATCTGTTGTATCGCAAGTTCCAGTTAAGAATCAGCTTTCATTTGGATCCATTTCTCAGGGCGTATGGTCTAATAATTCATAGTGTAATTGCTGCACATTTGTTTGTTTTAGGTGAGCAATAGCACCACAGAGGAGCTTCATAGCCTCCACATTTGTCTAGTGATGGGTGCAATTTCCCTCCACTTCCTGGCTGCTGTTGATAAATGAATGCCACAGGCAGTAGAGAGCTCAGACTCATGTGGACATTGTTAGCTGGTTTACGAAATGTGATTATATATGGGCGATGCCACGGGAGGTTCTCTTAATGAAATCAGCTACATTTTCACACATCTCCCAAGTAGCATAACAGATTTTTATTGTAATTTTTCACATCCTCTCCACTCTTTGACCCTTTAAAGCCTGAAGCATGAAATAATTGCCAGACATTATTATACATGGTTAAAAAATGTTGAATGTTTATCAAAAAAAGTGACCGAAAGTTCAATCTTTTTATGAAGAGTATTTGCTACATCTGTTTGGTTTTTTTGGGGGGGTTTTTTTGGGTTTTTTTGCAATTTATTCCTTAAAAATGTGCAATTTCAACTCACTTCAAATCAGAAAAACTCACATATCAAATATCTTGGCGTTAAGGGGTTAAGTTGCACTGAAACAATGCAAAGTCAGCACAAACAAATAAAGTACCCTGCTGTGATTAGAAAACACTTGCGCTGATGGAGAACCACCTACACACGCTTGCAATGCAATCCATCATTAAGGGGCAGTGCGTGTAAGGTTTAGCAGAGTGTTGTAATGCGGCGATTTCTTTCCCACATAGTTACATACAGAACCGGCTTAAAGCTGCCGCTGCAGCAGCCTGTAACTCATCAGACATATTGGTGAAACAATACTTGACACAATCAATCTAAAGTGACAGCAGGACAAAAGGGGTGTAGAGAACAGCACTTAATTGCAACATTTAATTTTACCTGGAACTGTTGCATCAAGTCAGCCACTGCACATATCTTTGTATTTTCTCAATGAGTCATATGAATTACAAGAACTGTTCCCTGCATTTTGCTTGGAGGGATTTTAACCCTTCATGGCAACATCCAGTTAAGAATGGCAGGATACATATGAGAGAATGCTGGAAAAAACAAAAACAAAGGAAAACTATGAAAATGAATGAATTTGGAGCTGCGACTCCATTAATAAGTTGTCCTACACATTTAATTACATGTAAAAAAAAAAAAAAAGGCAATTTTTACCACATTTGCTGTGTATCTCGTGGAGCAGTGAAGTCTTACCAGCTAAAGCCTTACAACTGCTGCAATTCAAATCCTAAATCTAATCAGAGTTTTTCTTTAAACTAGGTGCATCTAAGCAATGGTTTCCCTTTAGGAAAAAACATATCATCAGAGTAGTGAGGCAGGGGAAGATGTTTTCAGTGCCAGAAGGTGTTAGAGGGGGGAATGCAGTTATTGTAAAACACTTTAAGACTGCAGTAACCGCCAGCAAGATACATCTGTAACACTACTGTGGTTAGTAAAAACGGTAGGTGCATGAAACCACAAATATGACAACTACCAGAGCATTCTGGTGTGTGAAGCAGTGTTTTATAAGTCTGTATACAGTGTGGTGCAAATGTCTTGAACCTTTCCCCTTTTCTTAAGAGTTTTCAGCAAAAACAGGAAATGATTGCAGGGATTTATTATGACACACAA